GTTACTGATTACTTTTTTCAAGTAACTTGACCAACACTGGTCATCAGGTATGTTAAATTCTTGTGATCGGTCCAGATCACGAATGGATGTTCTGTCCCCTCTATTAAGTGCCGCCATTCTTCCAGGGCCAGTTTGATAGCCAACAACTCATGTTCACCTAAATCATAATTTCTCTGGGCTGGGGAGAGGCAGCAAGAGAAGAAAGTGCAGGGTCAGAATTGGAAAATCTTAGAAATATGGTATCTAACCAGACGCTTACTTTGCATGCCAATACCCTGGTCTCCAGTAACACTGTGAGGAATCTTAGTTCAGATATTGGTTCTTAATCAGGATGTGTCCTTCAATACTAAACAAATATGTAGGAATGCTTTCTTCCGTTTGTACAGAATCTCCAAAATTATAAACATCCTGTCTCAGAGTGATGCTTTTCTCTCTTTTCTTTGTATCACCGTAGAGTGTTTACCTTACAATATTAAGTGCCTTGAAGCAACTGTTGTAGTGATTTAGTGCTGTCTAAATAGAATAGAATAGAATTGAATTGAACACCAATTTGGTATATTTTCCTTTTTGCATAATAAACATGGGTAATGGGTAGCATGAAAATACTGAGGAAGGCTCTGGTTTAGTGTGACTTAAAGTGTGTTGCACTGATGTCCCTGAGTGACAGTGCTGTGGTTGAGAAAGAAAGTCTTCTTTTAGCTCCAACTGTGGGATAAAATTAGTGAGAAGACTGCTGCTGGGATGTGAACTGAAGGATTGTCAAATATCGCAGCTAACCCTTTTGCCATTGCAGCACACTGATCAGTGTATTTATGGTGTATAGCTAGTTGCATTCTGATTGGCTGACCGCCTCCCACCCCCACCATGTTGGAAAAGTCAAAGCGTTCAATGTGTGAATTTGTGACTTGAGAGGGCGCAGTAGAGTGCTCGCATTCACTACTTTGAGAAGTTGTAAGTATAGTTGTGGTTGTAAGTATTACTAATTAAAAAAAGAAATAAATATGAGTAAATTCTGACTTGCAATTTTGCAGCTCAGTATAATATCAATCTACACATTGTGGTCTATAACTGTAAATTTAAAACATGAATGTGCCAAAAAGATTAAAAGTTAAAATGTAAAAATCCAGTTTCAGATTTCGCACAATTTGCAACATATTTATCTTACCCTCCCTAGCATCTGAGAGTCTCTGACCTCCACTGATAAATAAATATGATATTTATTATCATAATAAATGAATTAATCGGCGATTAGCCAAGATTGGAATGTTTGGTTTATTTTTCTCAGGAAAGATAAAGCTTTTTTTCTTTGTTATTTCAATACAGAGAGTAATATGCGTATTACAGTTTCATATGCTGGTATATGAAACTGCAGCTGTGCGTATCTGTGTTAAAAGTGTTTATGGAATATTGTGATGTTTCAAGCAACTAAATCAAAACTGCATCTTTAACACCAATAGTTGATATTATCTATAGTAATAATCTATTTCCAGTGTGCCACCTTGGCCAATTTGGAGCCATTAGGCCTGTAATGATTTACTTCCAAACACAGAAACATCAAACGCTGGAGAACAATGAGGGTCTGGCTGCTGTCTCTTCTCTTTAATTCTCCATAACAAAAGTACAAAGGCTGAGACGGAGAACAAAGGGTTTACCCCTAAACACCGTTAACACCTCTCCGGGCCGCGGCGCCTCCGCGAGCCGACGCACACGCCGGCGCCCGTCTGGAGCGCCTGGGATACGGGAGGAGAGGAGCGCTGCCCCGGGGATCATAGATGTTCTGCGGTGGGTGAGGGGTGGGGCAGATGAGACGACTGAAACACCTCATCATCTAGCTCTATCTAAACAGACCTGTGTGTAAGTGTGGTTTCGGGCTGCAAGTAGCATTTGTTGCTAGGGTTGATCTGAAGGAGCACCTAAAGAGATTTTTATTTTACACGGTGAACAAAACAACAACCGATGCGTAAGTAACTTCCCTTTAAAATAGATTTAAAAATTATATATCCATAATTTAACACTTGGTTTTACTTCATTACACCCAAACTGTACTTTTAAGATGATAACAATTGCAAAACTTCCTCGTTAAATAGTTTTCTATATACCTGACCGAACTCTGCATGCAGGAGTCAATGGATCGTGTGTTTAGGTCAGTTAGACTTCAGACAGTTCGACCTTCCTTAAGAGCTTTTAGAATAAATGTGGTTAGTAAATATTGTTTAATATGCTTGGCAGATGGAGTTCACGCCCTAATCAGAATGTGGGATTCACCGAAACCATATCAGCCCAAAACCAGGTTATCAGTAATTCTCATAAAAGCACGAGAAGTCCGTGTTAATTATTACAAGCAAATAAGTTAATAATTGTGTCTCTGAGCTTTTAAAAGGAGACTGGGTTTTCCAGGACCCCTAAAACAAAGAAAGTTAACGGTGAGGGTTCTGCAGCGATTTATTAGACCCATTTGGGAATTAACAGGTAAGTTATTACTATCCTTACTGTAAAGTGTCCGACTGTGCGTCTGTATCTAAATGTCTCATTTCAGTAGCACAGGGCAGACAGAATCCGGTGGCTGGTACTGCGGTAGTGCACAGTTCCACCGGTAAAGAGCAGCAAGACTCACAGAGCACCCTGTTGGACCAAAGCCGACGGCATCGGACGGCGTTCACGCGGGAGCAGCTGTCTCGTCTGGAGCAGGAATATGGCAAGGAAAACTATGTATCCAGACCCCGGCGCTGCGAACTGGCTACTGCGCTCAATTTACCGGAGACTACAATAAAGGTACCGTGTTTAACTGCAGTCAGTGAAAATAAAGGGCCATGCCAAAGCCATATTTAACAAATAAGCTGTCTTTTTGTTCGGTCTATGCTACAGTTGTATAACAGAAATAAACTAAAAATATGGGGAATCTTACTTTTCCTAAGAAAATTAAACACGTTATGAAAGGTGAATGTAAATTATATAACAAACAGATTAATGGCTGTTAATCCAGCTGTTGGTGGCTATAGAGTGACATCACAGACCTAGCTATACGTTTATACCGGAAATAAATTTGCAAGTGCAAGAAACCACTGGTGCTCAAAGATGTTTCAGGTCCACTGGGTGACTGAAAAATACTCTTTAGACTGGTTTGTATTGTGAAACAGGATATCCTTTTTTATCTTGCTTCAATTATCTTAACATTGACAATCTAGTTAAACAGTCACAAGAAGGTGGCTATTAACACTATATTTCATCAGAGGTATATTCTCGGGTTATAAGGGCAGCCGTGGGCCCTAAGCAAGATCCTGGGGTGGTTATGTATTGAATGAACTGTTTTGCAAACTGGTGAAAGAAAAAATTAAACTGTTTACTTAAGGTAAAGTGATAATACTATTTCAGTAATTGTACTAAACCTTTTGCATCAAATATATACTTACAAATTCGGAAAGTAAAAGTGCCCATTATGTAGAATCTTATGTGATTAGTGTATTATTGGGTCATTATTATTGATTACACTCATGTGGCTATTACTTGAATGTTGCCACCTAGGATGGTATCACTGGACACACCTTGGAAAGGACATTGGTTGTTATGGTAGATTGAGTAGTGATAAGTTTAGGGCCTCTACATTTAATGAAGATGTTCACTGCACCCAAGGCAGCACATATAATACACAATAAATACACTAACCTTTTGCCAACCAGTAGCAGTCTTACTTAAAGAAAGATCAGGAATATAAGAAAAAGCCTTAAAATTTCACAGGCATCTGACATTTTAGAAGCACAGCCTTCTGCAATATTCTATGGGCTGGTAAAATAGTTGAGAACTGGACAGTGTCTAAGGCTACGTCCACACGTACACGGGTATTTTTGAAAACGGAGATTTTCCGTTTTCGTTTTTTTTTTTTAAATCCCGTCCACAGGTAAAAGTCAGAAATGAAGGAAAACGCTGCTAGGAACATGCCAAAGCAGCAGGTAGCGCTATATTCCTATCCGTGTAGAAATGTTGGCCAATCAGAAGTCTAGAAGCCTCGGTGGGAAATAGTAAACAAAGTTGGGGCATAGAAGCAGACACGAGTGGTATGTGTGGAGGGACAGTAACTGTGTGTTTATATGTAAACATTTAAACACTGCACAGAGTACAATTAACAGTAACAGTATTGTAGAAATTCATTTCACCGAAACAATAACCTGGCGCACAGTGTGAATTCAAAAAAGGCGCACACCTTTGACGCTGCGTTTTCTCCGTTTTTCTCGTCCACACTTAAATGCAAAAACTGAGTTTTAGAAAATATCCACCCTGGCAGGCGTTTTTAAAAATCTCAGTTTTCAGTGACCGAAAACGCCGTTTGCGTGTGGACAGAAGGTGCAAACGCATAGAAAAATCTGCATTTTCAGAAATACCCGGGTAGGTATGGACGTAGCCTAAGGTAACTTGTCATTCTGAGCTTTGAAATAGAGAAAAGTAGTAATTAAAAGAAAATTAAGTGATGTGTTATGTAATCTGATTCAAAGTGTTAGTGAGACCCCTGCATTTATATTTTCATGTTTATAGAAATTGTAGCAGCTCCTCTCTAGGTATAGAAATGTTGTGATCCATTGGCTTTACCTTTAGTGTCACAGGCAAGCTGTGAAATGTCTCAAAATTTTTTTAGATGTTTTTGTTAAACCTTAATGTTTTTTAAACGAAAAGAAGGGATGCACAGTTGTTCCTCCCAGGGCCCTCTCTTAATTTTTCTAGTCTTTACAAAAAGTTCTTTGAGAGAAGTGTTGTTGTGAAAAAGCACCATATAAATAAAATGTAATTGAACTGAATAATTCACTTCATCCTCCTAGGTATGGTTCCAAAACAGGAGAATGAAGGATAAACGCCAAAGACACTCCTTGCCTTGGCCTCACCCATTTATTGACCCGCTGGGGGGGCTTCTGATGGGCAGCACATCTCCTTCCTCCATCTTACCATACACCTTCATCCAAACCCACCTTCCACACCTCCCGCTCCACCCCTATGCTCCCCTGGCTCTCTCTTCAACTACATCATCTCACAGCCCATACAGTGCACCAATGAGTTCAGCAGATGCATTCCATCTCTCCCAATTCAACAAAAGGCCTGGGGAGCTGCCTCCAACAACAGTAGCACTCTACCCCTCTGTAAGCATAATGCACCACCCTACTTCATGCCCCTGTCCACTGTGCCTGCAGTGGGACCCAGAACAACTGTACAAAGCAAGAAGGGATGCACTGGGACTGGGCCGGCCCCGCACTCTGAAGGCTAACACTCATTCTGCTAGTGTAGGGAAGACACAAGAGATGGTGTAAAACTAGATGAAAACATCATCAAACAAATGTTACTGCAAGAAAATTATACCATTTCCAGTGTCTTCTGTTAACACTAGAAGCTTGCCAAGCATCACCTGCAGCAGATGATTAAGCTCTCATATTTTTGTGTAAATCTTAACAGAAATAAAAAAAAACTCTGCATCTTTACAATAGAAACCCAAAACACTGGCCTTGTTTAAAATAATGCAAATCACATTTGCAATTAACTGAAGGCATTGGGTTATTCTGTTTTGTTTTGATGTATTATATTTTTGTTGCTGTTGTTACATAATTATTTCAAGTAAGTTAAAAAAAACTATTCAGTAGTAAGGCCACATTTATGCCTATCAAAGCACACCAAATAAAAGCCTTAACCTTTTCTTTGTATTATTTTTAAAAGAGCACACTATTAATTGTACAGTCTGGTTACTGTTCATTAACTATTGCATATCCAGCCTCAATATTAAAACAACCTCTATTTCAAACTTGTTTTGGTGCATTTCAGCAGTTTGGACCAGAGCACTGCATTATGACATCTATCTTATAGATTTCTTCAGCTGTCAGTGGTTTTAACATCATATTGCTGAGTGTATACTGAGCATACACCAAAATTAAGCTACTTAGAGCTGCCACAAGTGGTTAACACAGTGGGTAGCTCTATATGTTTGATTTGGGAGAACTGTAATCCGGATGGCCTTCATGACACAAACACAACAGGAATTTGTGTCTCCAAATGGAAATCAACCGCTATGCTATGGAGCACCCATAGTATCCAAATGAAAAAATTAAAATACTGGTCAAAACAAAGTAACTTCATTAAAAGTTTTAACGGGACATAGCACTATTATAAGGTGTAGATTTGGAAAAGTCAAGCAACTGATTTATTGTTTGGTTTACCGAAATTCAGAGTTCAGAAAGATTTAAGCCAAGCGAAATATCATCATGTTGTTTTGCCTGATTGACATAATTGGTATAGTTTTGCAAATGTGAGACAAGGAAGATTGTTACACTGGCTTTCTCTTTTCTATTATACAGTTTATGACACTTTTGAGTTATTGTGACAGAGCCTTCCCCACTTCTGTAGTTATTACACAGAATTTGAAATGTTAAATTAGTTTCAATTCCAATGAGTTTAAGTTCCTCGGCTAATTAGATTAAATCCATATCCACATACTCTAACCTCTACATCTCTTTCATTTTCTGCTCATACACATAAGGCATGCACTATTTCCCAGTTTAACTCCTGAATACTACTTTGGGATTATATTGACTGGCATCAAATCTTCCCTTTCATATATTCCAAGTACCTTCTTAATGTTAAAGGCATGTTTGCCTTATGATTGGAAGGCCAGGAGTTCAAATCCACCAAACGGTAGCTGCCCACTGCTTCAATGAGTGAATGGGTTAAATGTAGAGGATAAAGTATGTAGCTTTACCATTAAAATTTATCTCCACACTCTCCTGACCTCTAAGATTATTTAATGTGTAAAAAAGATTTGTGTGTGCGTAAAAAAGATTTGTATGTGTAAAAAAGATTTGTGTGTGGACTTAGAAAAAAAACCCCTGCAAGTTACAAGTACGGATTTTGACCCTATTTTTCTTCCTGTCATCTGATTGGTCAATGTCATGTCAATCACAAATGTAACAA